CCCATTTTTGCTGCGCTTCCGCGGCCGGTGTGTCCCCGGCGTTAAACTACGACTCTGCTTCCTGGTCTGGACCCTGGGTAGTCATGGAGTCATGCATTTATATATATATATATATATATATATATATATATATATATATATATATATATATATATGTGTGTGTGTGTGTGTGTGTGTGTGTGTGTGTGTGTGTATATATATAGATAGATAGAGATCTTAATAAAATATATTATTCTAATGGTGTTTTAATGAGCTGTATCATTTTTTAAAGCATTTTTTATAGAAATAAATAAGCAAGCAGCACTCCTTGTGTGTGTGTGCGCGCGTGCCTGATCACTTGTCCCTCCGTCGGCCGTGACGGATGTGTGTGTGCGCGTGTTTGTGCGCATGCACATGCCTGCTCGCTTGTCCCTCCGTCGGCCATGACGGGTGTGTGTGTGTGCGACTGCAGACAAATGCATGAGAGAGTTAGCAGCCTTGAAACCGCTTGATGAACTACTCTCCCCACGTTTTAAAAATGCTAATATAATGTTTCTGCTGCGCTAAATAATGATTTCTCTATAGAACTACAAAGTCCGACTGGGGGAGGAGAGTACAGGTCTACATTATGGAGGGGGGCGGAGTTTACAGCTCCTCCTCCAGATTTAAAGAGACAGTACCCAAAAACGGCTCGTTCTCAAGAATCTCCTCAGAACAGGGGTAGATGAGGGTCTGTAGAGCAACAATAATGAGGAAATCAGACCAAAGAACTGCAGCTCGACTGTATTTAGACCCCAACTGAAGGATTTAGATGTAAAAAGGAATAACTTAAAAGCATGTTATGTCTCCTTTAAGGTAAAACTGCAGGAACTAATATTTAAGTGCCAAGTTAGTTCTAACGGCTGTCGAAGGTTTGCTACGGGGGCTAATATATCTCAGCATGAATTAACACACATACACACTAATAGACTCACCAAGAAAAGTCAGCTTGGGTTACACGGGGTTTGCCAAGGGTAATTCACGGCAAAATCACGGTCTTCGGACCTCTGTGTCTCTACAGCATAACAAATAACTTGTCACTATTACACAGCAACAGCACCTAAACATGAAAATTATATCCGCTTACCGAACTTGGAGTAATTTTTTTTCAAGTAACGGCTGCTAGTGCATCCTAGTTTGCTCTTCACGGGCAAGTGCTTCCTCGTCAGCGTCTCAGCGCGTCTGAAGGCAAGTGAACAGTGTTGCCAATTGTTTTTGACTGAAAGTAGCTGAAGTTCCCCCCAAAAGTCAATAGATGTCACCAAATGACGTCACGTGCTAATTTGCATCCAACGCAATGACGTCATCTGGTTTGCGTGATGATGTCACCAAGTTTGCGTCATGACGTCACCGGTCTTGTAGAGTAAATCAAATAAAACCCACGTGATTTAATTAAAAAAATTATTTAATTTCCTTTTTAATACTTTATTAAAATAAAAACCCATAGAATACATAACAGCAGCCTTTAAAATATCAAGGAAAGATGGCACAAAAAATGGAAGGAATATTTATATTTGGTCTGAAGAGAATGGAACTCTTAAACACAAAAAATATTAAATTGATAGGAATGTATGTATGACTGAATTAAAATGAATTTTCTGTTGTAGTTTTCAAGTGCCTTGAGATGTATTCTTCTGTTGTGGTTCAGTGCTATATATTAACCTAAAAGATTATATACATATATACATATATATATATATACATATATACATATATATATATATATATATATATATATATGTTTTTGTTTGGTTTTGTTGTTTTTAGTACTTTTGTGTAAGAAGAAGCAGGTCGTATTTAGTATTCAGAAACGTTACATGCAAACTGCCAATGACCTGCCAATGACTTACAGTATTATTCTGTTTGTATAAAAGTTTTAAATGTGCTACGTTATTGAACTAATCAAAGAGTTCCAATGTTCCTTGAATGCACCACATGTGGTGTGAGAAGCCATGTGTGAGTGCGAGGCTGCCTGCCAGTGCCAGCCGAGCTCAGCTGCCGAAATGCGGCAGGATGGCAGGAGCGGTCGCCCTTTATGTAGCTCCGGTGGCTATCTCAAATAATGGACTTGTGAAAGAAAACCCACCAAAGGTTTGATTGGCCAACGGGGGTAGCGTGATCATGATGCAAGCACATGCGCAGATCATTTTCTTTCTGATCCTCTGGAAGGAAGGACGGTCCTGTCGCTTCAGATGCCTCGCTAATCTGCAGGTAAAGTCTGCTACAAAGTTGTAGTCAAAGTAGCTGAGGGGGGTCAGAAATGTCACCAGAATTGTCGCTAGGCGTTTTTGAAAAAATGTCGTTAAGGGGGTCTGAAAAGGCGTTAGAAATGGTGACAAATTCGCTAAGTTGGCACCACTGTAAGTGAAAGCTGTGCAGCGAGCAGCAGAAAGTGCTAAATTCCATTGGCTGATGCGATAGCTGGCTAGCCACGTGATTGGATAGTCAGTTGCTACCTGAATTTTACTGGAACTTTCTATTTTTAGCTTTTCTTATTTGACTATTTTCAACAAGTTTGTTTTTTCTTTTTCTTTCTTTTAACTATGAATGTATGAATGTTTAGATTTCTATTTATCTTGTTTGGTCTTTTATCCTGTTTTAACTGTTTTGTAAATTTCCATTTATATTTCAATATTCATTCTAATTGTGTAATGATGTTACTATTGTAATCTGGGTTTTACACCGGGTTACAAGAGCATCATGTTCTCTCCAATTTTCTAGATTTGTTTTAAAGGGATAGTTCGCTTTTTGAGATATGAAGTTGTATGCGTTCCTTATCCCACCCAGTGCTCTGTAAACAATGACCCATTTCACACACACCCTGCTCAGAGATTTTCAGGGGGAAGGGATTCAGGAAACAACTTCTGGCTAGTTTCGGGGGTACTGTATCTCCACCGTTTAGCGTCACAAAAGGATTTGCCTCTGAAAGCATGACCAATGTACATCTCAGAAACACAGCCAGGTAAATTGACAACTTCACATTAAAACGGGACTTTTTATCATTCCGATCATGCGCCACTCGGCGCAGGGACAAAACGGCGTCATCTGGCTGCTATAATCCTGGCTGTATGAGTGAAACAACAACTTCCAAAGTCACTTAAAAGGAGTTGTTCTTACATATATAGAGCCATGGTGCGTACTTGCAGTTTCCCGGTTGTAACAGTAAGGATGTTACAGGATCACCTTTTAGGTTCCACACTTTTCCTGTGAAGGCCGCTTCTCTAGCATCACTTTTGGCAATCGGCTATGCCATGGATACTCGGCTGGAATGAGTCAAAACATTTTGTTTGTGCAGTGCACACTTCAAAGAGGACGATTAAATCAAGAAAACATTCGGGAACAATGAGACTCTTGTTGAAGAGTTCGGCCGTACCAGAAATCTGGGAACGTTTTGTATATTTTTATTAATTTATTCCGGCTATGTCCGCCGTATTCATGCAATCATCTTCACACCAATGATGGTTGATCGTAGACTGCAGTAGCTTAGTCAACAATCTGTGTTGATGTGTGAGTTTTGTGTAGCAAATGCACGTAACGTAGCACAGGGGATCATCATGTACTGTTATACCTGTTGAAGCGTTGCTAAACTGAAAAATGAATCGTATTACAGTTGTGCAAAGTTGCAGTGACAGTGGCTTTCAACTTCGACTGGGCGGGGGCTGGATCATCACATGGTAACTCTCCCGGTTCATGACAGAGAACTGTTTCTCTACGACAAAAATCATCAGCTAGCTATTAAAAATTGGCTTGTTGATGTACAGGGAAACATTTATCTAACCGTGCATAGGACAATAAAAAGTTTCAGTCTAATCAAACCTATTTGATCTGATGTTCAACAAGGTATGCAGTAGTACACCTTCTGCTACTAGTGGAACCGAACCCACAGAGGCCTGCAGTTACACCCAGCATATGCAGAACTTGAAGGACTCCCACAGTCAACACCTCGAAAGTCTTCAGCTAAATGTGGCAAGGTGGAGAAACGAGGGCCCGGGCGGGATTCGATCCCCAGACTACCGGGTGAGAGTCATACGCTCTAACCAGTCAGCCAAAGGGACATCCCCTTGGCCAAGTAGCCAGGGCGCATGATCAATCGGAACACTGTGACAGGACGCTCACACTGTCACATAAAGTACAGCACATGGAGCTGATTCGGAAAAGTCCTGCTGACACCTTCAGAGGAACACGGACATTTGGGTTTTTCAGAACCTTTCTGTAGGATTTGAATCACTTTGATCCAAAAAAAATCAGGATTAAACTGATCCCATCAGAAGGGTGGATTAAGCATGAATTTCATGCCCAAATTGTAATGAAAACTTTAAAAATGTATCAAATAATACTATATATGGATCATGCAGTATTTTACAAGATATCCTATATATTCATAAGGTTTTAGTTTTATTTGTTCTTCCATCAGGCTACAGTGATTAAGTAGGCTTTAACGTATTCAGCCTTCCAGTACAGGCCTACTGATCCAGAGAGCGTATTTATATTGAATCTCAGCTCTGTTCGTGAGGAAGCAGCTGGTTTCTCATTGGTTGAGCCAGTGGTAGTTGCCACAGGATCTCAGAGGAAAGGCTTGAAGCGCCCTTCATCAAACAAAGATGACGGTTACAAGGCACTTCAGCAAAAAGAGACTGACAGGGCAGAAGCACAGCTTCGTCTGGCAGAGGAACAACAGACTCTGATTAAACTGCAGCAAACCAAGGCCAGACTTGAGATCCGCCTCCTAAAGGCTACGCTCAGACAAGCTGGTCTCTCCACATCAGATGAGGAAGTCTGAAATTATTGTGGAGTTGCAAAATTGTTACACCAGCTTCCAGCACTCACCTGGAAGGTATCTCAGAACAGCGGTTTGGTTTTTGGGGTGAAACTATGTGCTCCAAATACCACAGAAGTCAACTCTACTGGCAGTTTGTATCAACTTCTCCGACCGCTGGATCACCGGCAGCCTTCACCACAAGGACTCGTAGATTCTGCACAACTGGCGTGGGATGGTGTTTTTAATAGAGATTGTTAAACCATACATTCAGACGTATTTTACAACCCAGACATCACAATTTTCTAAGACACTTGGTTTTGCTACATAACATCTAAGTACACATTCCATCATTTCATTCATTGTCCCAGTTATCTTGTTTCAACCATAATTTATCATCATTTGTTCCGTGTCATCATTAGTAAATGGTAAATGGCCTGTATTTGATATAGCGCCTTCTAGAGTCCTGGAAACCCCCAAGGCGCTTTACAACACAATCAGTCATTCACCCATTCACACACACATTCACACACTGGCGGGGATGAGCTATGATGTAGCCACAGCTGCCCTGGGGCGCACTGACAGAGGCGAGGCTGCCGAGCACTGGCGCCACCGGTCCCTCCGACCACCACCAGCAGGCAAGTTGAGTTAAGTGTCTTGCCCAACGACACAACGACAGCGACAGACTGAGCGGGGGCTCAAACCTGCAACCGCTCGATTACGGGGTGAGCACTTTACTCCTGTGCCACCGTCACCCACACAGTAGTAGAAATGTTGTATTAAATTTGTTTTTAGAAACAATTTTTCGCTCGGTCTCAAAATATTACGAAAGTGTGATTTCCCCGAACTACCAAAATGACCTGGTTTCCTTTTAGATAAAAATTTCAAAAGATCAATAACATTGATATTTCATATTTATATGGAATATCACATCTTACTGATCATTTATTAAAAGTAACCACTTACATCAAGTTACACAACCAAAAGGCTTCTGTCCAGGGTGGACACTCGTGTGATTGTTTAAACCTCTCTTTTGACTAAATCCTTGTCCACAGAGCTCACATATAAAAGGCTTCTGTCCTGTGTGGACTCTTGTGTGTCTGTTTAAATCTGTCTTTCGGTTAAATCCTTTTCCACACAGCTCACAGGCAAAAGGCTTCTGTCCTGTGTGGACACTCATGTGACTGTTTAAACTTGTTTTATAACGAAATCTTTGTCCACACAGCTCACAAGCAAAAGGCTTCTGTCCTGTGTGGACACTCATGTGAACGTTTAAACTTGTCTTATAACAAAATCTTTGTCTACACAGCTCACAGGCAAAAGGCTTCTGTCCTGTGTGGACACTCATGTGAACATTTAAACTTGTCTTATGACTAAATCTTTTTCCACAGAGCTCACAGACAAAAGGTTTCTCTCCTGTGTGGATTCTAATGTGATCTTTTAAACTTGTCTTACGACTAAATTTTTGTCCACACAGGTCACAGGCAAAAAGTTTCTCTCCTGTGTGGATTCTCATGTGATCTTTTATATGTATCTTTTGACTAAATTTTTGTCCACATAGCTCACAGGCAAACGGCTTTACTCCTGTGTGGATTCTCATGTGTCTGTTTAAAGTTGTTCGTCGGTTAAATCTTTGTCCACACAGCTCACAGGCAAAAGGCTTCTGTCCTGTGTGGACACTCATGTGAACGTTTAAACTTGTCTTATAACGAAATCTTTGTCCACACAGCTCACACGCAAAAGGCTTTACTCCTGAGTGGATTCTCATGTGACTGTTTAAAGTTGTCTTTTGGTTAAATCTTTGTCCACACAGCTCACAGGCAAACGGCTTTACTCCTGTGTGGATTCTCATGTGTCTGTTTAAAGTTGTTTGTCGGTTAAATCTTTGTCCACACATCTCACAGGCAAAAGGCTTCTGTCCTGTGTGGATTCTCATGTGACTGTTTAAAGTGTTCTTTTGGTTAAATCTTTTTCCACACAGCTCACAGGAAAAAGGCTTCTGTCCTGTGTGGATTCTCATGTGACTGTTTAATTTTGATTTAACCATAAATTCTTTTCCACAGTGATCACAACTAAACGTTTTAGTCTTTTTCTGGACTTCCCTACACGAGTCTGCATGTTGCTTCACTATAACACATTCCTTACTAGCACAACAGCCTGAAGACCTTGTTGCTAAATGACTTGTCATTTCTGCTGTCACATGGTCAGCTGAGCTGCTCGCTGGAACATCTCGGTCTTCTGTTTGCTGCTGATGAAGCTGTGAGACGAGAGGTTTTTCTTCATCATCCTCACTCTTTATAGAACCAGCAGTGAATAGAAATCTGGCAGCATCAGTCTCCTTCAAATGTAGCTGCTCTCTCTCCAGACTGGTCCAGAGGTCGTCCTGTTCCTCCTTTATGTGAAGGTGTTCTGGTTCCTGCTGGTCCTCACCAGCACTCTGTTCTTCATGAGCTTCTTCTTTAACCAGCGCCATTATTTTAACACCTGTAGGTAAAACAGAAACACAGTGAATTACTGAATGCTGTAACGTTCTATTCACACATTTAACAGTAATATTATTGCTTTAAAGAGCAAGTAACACCCAAACCAACTATTCTTTTGGCTGATAAACTGTATAAATGAGTATCTAATAGTGTTGTAGACATTCAAGTTTATTTATAAAGCGCAAAATCAGGACCAGAGTCGTCTCAAGGACCTTCACACAGTAAACATTCCAATACAGGTCATGTCATTAAGCCGATCAGTAACAAGTTTCTTATATAAGGAACCCAGCAGGTCACATCGAGTCACTGACTAGTGTCAGAGTCTTTACAGCGGTCCTTATACGAAGCAAGCATGCAGCGACAGTGGAGAGGAAAACTCCTTTTTAACAGGAAGAAACCTCCAGAGAATCCTGGCTCAGTATAAGCAGCCATCCTCCACGACTCACTGGGGATGAAGAATACAGAACACGCACGCAAGCATGCACGCGCACACACACACACACACACACACACACACACACACACACACACACACACACACACACACACACACACACACACCTGGGTTGGGGAACCCTGGTCCATCAAGGGCCGCCATCCAGCATATTTTAGTTTCAACCCTGCATCGTCACACCTGATTTCTATCAGCAGGTGATTGATAAGCTTCTGTAGAGCTTGATGAGCTGCAGAACAGGTGAACCAACCACTGAATCAGAAGTGTTAGAGCAAAGACGTGCAGGATATTGATGGGTAAAAACTGATATTAACTTTATTAATGTCCTGATTGTTTAACATCTGGTGTTTTAAACAAAGCTTCATCCATTCATTCTACTGATAGATAACAGGCCCCTGCAGGTCTTACAGGGAGGAGGTTTTGGGAGGTTTGACCTTGCCTTGGTACCGGTCCTCTTATCAGTAAAACTCCCTTGAGAAAGTCCAGACTGCTTTGTTGACTTAGAATGCACCTGGTGTGTCTTTTACGGCTTCCTGCCTGAGAGTCTCAAATGTGTGTGCGTAATCTTATGTGTGTGCTTAATAAAAGCTTTTGGAGGACATCTGTTCGATGAGAGCGAACTGACAACCTGACTGGTGTGTACTTTTTCCTCTCCACTTCGCAAAGTCTAAATTAATTGTTGATTATTGGTATTGGTGTTGATAAATTGATTACTATAACCCCCTGTGCTATGAACTTTCTCTGAGCTAATCCTGGGTTGATAAAATTACCCAACATTTTTGGTGCCGTGATCCGTCGTTTAGAGCCGGCTGCTGAGGGATCTTCTCCGGTGGGCCGAACGGCGCGCCGCTCTGTTTGGCTCCGCAGGCGACCTTCCGCTGACGGCTCTCGCACGTCGCATTCAGGGTGAATCCATCGTGCAGGGGGGAGTAAGTACCTTTTACCCTTTTGCACGCTTTTATAAACGGCTGATTGACAGTGTGTTTACGCTTGGGTCTGCCTTTCCGGCGCAAGAGACGTTTTGCGCCCCAGCGTGGGGTATAAGCTGAGTTATGTCCTAGGTCCGGCTGTTTGATGCCTGACCTGCCTAACCGAAAAAGAGCTGAAAGCGAAAGGCAGGGGCCAGAACAAACGCTACCGGAGGAAATTTGTAATGAGGGCCGTGTCAGCGTACTCGGTCCGACCCACGGTTTAGGTGGGCAGTAATAAAACTGAAACTGAAGACCTGTGAGGTAAAAGCTGCACGAGGAGTGAGCTTAAATAATAAGCTGTTGATAAGAGAGGTTGGACAGATTATTTTTAACGCTGTCTGTATTGAAATGCATTGAGATGTATTACTAGATGCATGGCCTCGCGCATCGCCATCCACCGATCTCAAGTCCCAGTGCCCAAAACTCCCGACTGGTTTCATGGCTCCCCGACCAAAATGACACGCTCTCACCATCCCAGCCACCAAGGGAAGTGCATCATCCCACACTGCTACAACAACAACAAAGTTGCTGGACTAATGAATATGTTCTCGCAGTCCCCACAGTCATGAGAATGGGGACAACTGAAAGATACATCTGGAAATATGGAAGGCTCTCTACCTGAACCTGCCACACAACTGGTGTGGAATTTGCAGCCTGGCTTGCCTGCACCCCGCCTCACATGTGACCACAGAGAAAGGGGCCGTCCTTACGAGGACATCAGAGCTGAAGTAAGAGAGTCTAGGTCTTTTATGACCTTCTGCCCTTCTCCACCGACAAAAGCCGGACCCCTCACAACGACGACCCCAAAGGACCCCACAGGATTCATCTGCATCACCTTTTCCCACTTCAAAACCACAAAAATGCAACATCGTCCTGAAGAGGACGTTGTCTTGTCCAAACTACAGCTTCCAGTCCGCAGACAAGCCCTTTGACCTCAGCTCTGCCACAGTTAGAGCTGCATACATTAGCTTTACCCCTCTGGCAACTTCCTAAGCTTAATAGGTTGGCTGACAACTGGAAGTTGGAATCAGCTCTTGTGGAAATGTCTTGTACCTGTTGTTTTTATCCTAGTCATGATTTGCTTGGTTTCATTATGATTTCAACAATGTAAATTACAAATTCTGTAACCGCTGTTGAGTGATGTCCTAGTCATCAGTCAGTTGATTTTAGTGTCTTTTATCTTTTTGCTTTATCATTATAATCATTATTGTAATCATTCATTGTATTACAGGTTGCCACTTATTGATGCAGCCCTCTTTTGTTACAGGTTGTTACTTATTTTTACAGTTTTTGGAGTTCGCTACTTATTTTGTGATCTTTTGTGTGTTATGGGTTGATTTTTACGGCTACAAACATATTTACCATAATCGTAGTATTGTTGTTGTTGTTTTTTTTAATCTGCCAATTATAAAGGATGAAACTCCGTTTAACAGGGAGGAATGATGGGTAAAAACTGATATTAACTTTATTAATGTCCTGACTGTTTAACATCTGGTGCTTTAAACAAAGCTCCATCCATTCATTCTACTGATAGATAACAGGCCCCTGCAGGTCTTACAGGGAGGAGGTTCCTGATATATACCAAGCAATGTTTCTATGGTTACATTGTGATTTGTTAGTAAATATTGTATTTGAAGAGAGATAAACTTTTTAGTATTTATCCTAGTGAATCTATAATTATACGGGTAAACTAGTAGTAGCACATTCAATGTCAAAGAGAGTAAAAAGTTATTATCAGGAGAGGGAGAATGTTTAAGTGGTTAGCAGCAGTGTGCTAGACTATGGCCCCCTCCATGAGGCCACCACAGCTCAGCAGAACATCATTGTAGCTTCTTCTGGGGAGAAAAACACTTAGAGAGAAAATAAAGTTAACAGCTGAAATAGCAGGAAATAATACAGTTAAAGAGCAGATTGTAGAATAAAGCAGTAGAGTGTGAAAAGTGGTCAGTGTATCCTCTAGCAGTCTAAGCCTATAGCAGCATAACTACAGAGATCACTCTGGATAACCTAGCCTTTTTAGATGTAGGCATGTTGGAGGCAGGGCAAGGGAGAGCAGTCTTTACCGACTGTACACTCCACCTCCCTCTACTCCCCCACTTGTCCAGATCTAGGCTAACATCAGATTTTAACCATAGGCCCTATCAAATAAAAATGTTTTAAGCCTACTCTTAAAAGTAGACAAAGTGTCTGCCTCACGGACTAAAGCTGGGAGCTGGTTCCACAAGAGAGGAGCCTGATAGCTAAAAGATCTTCCTCCCATCCTATTTTTAGAGATTCTGTGAACCACCAGTAAACCTGCAGTCTGAGAGCTAAGTGCTCGGTTAGGAACGTATGGAACAATCAGATCACTGATGTATGATGGACCTTGATTATTAAGAGCTTTATATGTGAGAAGAAGGATCTTAAAATCTATTCTGAATTTAACAGGTAGCCAATGTAGGGAAGCTAAGACAGGAGAGATATGATCTCTCTTTTTAATTCTCATCAGAACTCTAGCTGCAGCATTTAGGACAAGCTGAAGACTTTCAACTACATTCTGTGGACTTCCTGAGAGCAATGAATTACAGTAATCCAGTCTTGATGTAATAAATGCATGAACTAGTTATTCAGCATCACTTCTGGAAAGGATGCTTCTAATCTTAGCAATATTCCGAAGGTGGAAAAAGGAAATCCTACAAACCTGTTTAACCTGGGATTGAATGACATGTCCTGGTCAAGGATAACACCAAGGTTCCTTGCTTTGTTCTCGGAGATCAATGTAATGCCATTCAGGTCAGGCGATTGGCTAAGCAATTTCCTTTTCTGGATTTCTGGTCCAAAGATGAGAACTTCCATCTTGTCTTGATTTAAAAGCAAAAAGTTTAGAGTCATCCAATTTTTTATGTCCTCAAGACAAGCCTGTAATCTACCCAACCGATTAGGTTCATCAGGGTTAATGGATAAATATAACTGGGTATCGTCAGCATAACAGTGGAAGTTTATCCCATGCTCTATCATATCAGGAGTCTGTGGTGGTGGATGCTCTACCATATCAGGAGTCTGTGGTGGTGGATGCTCTACCATATCAGGAGTCTGTGGTGGTGGATGCTCTACCATATCAGGAGTCTGTGGTGGTGGTGGATGCTCTATCATATCAGGAGTCTGTGGTGGTGGTGGATGCTCTATCATATCAGGAGTCTGTGGTGGTGGATGCTCTATCATATCAGGAGTCTGTGGTGGTGGATGCTCTATCATATCAGGAGTCTGTGGTGGTGGGTGATCTATCATATCAGGAGTCTGTGGTGGTGGTGGATGCTCTATCATATCAGGAGTCTGTGGTGGTGGTGGATGCTCTATCATATCAGGAGTCTGTGGTGGTGGATGCTCTATCATATCAGGAGTCTGTGGTGGTGGATGCTCTATCATATCAGGAGTCTGTGGTGGTGGATGCTCTATCATATCAGGAGTCTGTGATGGTGGATGCTCTATCATATCAGGAGTCTGTGATGGTGGATGCTCTACCATATCAGGAGTCTGTGGTGGTGGATGCTCTATCATAAAATAAACATTCCTCTCTACAATAGAATAAATCTATTGTATTTTTCAGCCTTATATTCTACATAAGGCTTATACATTGCCACATACTAGTCATTTAACGTATCTTATTTTTATTTTCCTAATACTGTCGGCTTTGGAAAGGATCAAAACACAAAAGTGTAAAACTCAAAAGTATTTTAATGCCAAAAATCAGGTGACAGAAATAAAAACAGGTAGCTAGGACGCTGAAACCAGCAGAGTATGACTGAAACAGAACCGTATGCACTGAGGAGTGAGAGATGACAGAGGACTAGTGTGTAATAGAGAAATAAGTTAGCATCAAAAAGGCAGAGAATGAAGGGTTTAATCTTAAGAACATTTGTATTTATTTCTTTTTTTGTGAGGGAGATTTATCGGCCATTATATCGGCTATCGGCCTTTGTTAAAAGTTTTATATCGGTATCGGTCCCAAAACAAGCATATCGGTCGGGCCCTAGTTAGCACTGTTGCCTCGCAGCACGAAGGTTGCAGATTCAAAACTCGGCTGCGGCCTTTCTGCGTGGAGTTGCATGTTCTCCCCATGCATGCGTGGGTTTGCTCCGGGTACTCCGGTTTCCCCCACAGATCACAACAAGCCCTATAGGTTATAGATTGTAAGTCGCTTTGGATAAAAGCGTCTGCCTAATAAATAAACATAAACATGATAATGATACATCTGAGTTAACAACGTTTTCCTGTCCTT